GTTCTGCTGAACAGTTAGTTTATAAAGCACACTGGTTATCTGTTTTTTTTCAACTGACACTTAACCTTGTTAGGTAGACAGAACAGGTTATCTTCAAATACCCTGACCCTTTTAAGCATGAGAGAAAGCAGTCACACAAATAGAGTAACTGGGATAGGAATCACACCTAGATCTTGTCTACAAAGCCTGGAGGTTTCAATTTTAACATGCAGCCTCCTTTAAACTCAAAACTCGCACGTTGGCACATGCCTGTAATCTCAACTACTTAGGAGGTTGAGACAGGAGGATTCCAACTGTGAGGCCAGTCTGGCAACTTATTTCAGTGGTAAAGTGCTTGTCTACTATACCTGAGCCGCTGGGTTCAACCCTCAGTATCTGTCTCTCTCTCACACACACACACAAAACCCAAGCTTTCATTTAAAAAGGGCCAGGGAAGCCAGGCATGGTGGCACGTGCCTGTAACCCCGGCACTCAGGAGGCTGAGGCAGAAGGATCACTGCAAGTTCACAACCAGCCTGGGCTACAAAGTGAGCTCAAGGCCAGCCTGAACTACATAGCGAGACCCTATCTCAAAAAGACCAAATAGATAAATAAATAAACAATAAATAAATACTAAAAAGGGCCAGGGATACCGAGCATGCAGTGCTAGGCTGGATCTCCAGCACCACTAACGAGTAACTAAGAGGACATTCACATTACCTCTTTGGTGAGGGTCTCATTTTGGCTCGTTCGTGTAACTTCCTGCTCTGCTGAGACATCGCCTCGTTGTTCTGCCAAGTTGCAATAGACAATACAGACAGGTTATATTCAAAAGAAGACAAATTAGTAGGACATGCTAGGAGAAAGTCTCATTTAGTTCAGTGCTTTATTTCTAAGGGGTTGTGTTCCTACAAAAGAGTAACAATTTCCCCAAATAACATCAATGAATTCATCATTATATATTATTTTACTTATTTGGATTGATTTATTTATTTACTTTTTTGAGACAGGCTCTCACTATGTAGCCCAGGGTGGTCCAAACTCACGGCAAGCCTCCTGCCTCAGCCTCTCAAGGGCTGGGATTCAAGGTGTGGACCACCACACCTAGCATATTTTATGTATTTTGGATATCTCATACACGAAAGTAGAAAAATAAATAATCCAGCACTAGGGAGGCTGAGGCAGGAGGATCACTGACAGTTTGAGGCCAGCCTGGGCTACATAGTGAGCTCAAGGCTAGCCTGAACTGCATAGCAAGACCCTGTCTCAAAAAGACACACACACAAAAAAAGAATAAATGAAAATAGAATAATACAGTTAATTCACAAGTACCCATCATTCAATTTAAAAACTAATACATGTTTTGCTAATCTTGGTCCAATCCTCCATTCCACTGTTTTATTTTAACAAACCCTAAAAATGTCATCACACTTGTTAAAGCTTAAGCAAGGCCAGTAAAAATTCTTTTTCCACATATAAATTGTATCATTAATACAACTGACAAAACAAAGATAATCTTTTAATACCATCTACTACACAGACCTCCAGCTCATATTCAAAATTTCCCAGTAGTGTTAAAACTGTTTTTTCCCAGGTCTGGTGGAACACAACTAAAATCCCAGCATTTGGGAGGCTGAGGCAGAAGGACTGCCATGAGTTTGGGTCTGTCTGGGTTATATAACAAGACCTTGTCTCAAAAAAAAAAAAAAAGTAAAAAAATCTGCTCTTTACAGTGGATTTATTCTCATCAAAATCCAAAAAAAAGGGGCTGGGGATTTAGCTCAGGGGCAAAAGCGCCTGCCTGGCAAGCTCAAGGTCGTGAGTTCGGTTCCTGGTACCGGAGAAAAAACAAACAAACAAACAAACAAACAAACAAAAATCTCCAAAATGAGCTTGACTGTTGTCTTTTGTCTTTTTCATGCCATTATAATTCTCCCTCACTTTTTCTTCTTGTCACTGATACGCTGGGAAAATCTGGTCTTTTGCTTTATGATATCCCCTACATCCTGGATTTGGTCAAATGCTTCCTCATGGTACTATTTAATTTCCACACACAGTAAATTCAGAGCAGGCAGCCATCACCACAATCCAATTTAAAACGTTTCTAGGAGTCAGGAGTGGCGGTGAGCAACTGCAGTGTCCCAGCCACTCAGGAGGCTGAGGCAGGAAGATCACTTGAGCCCAGGAATTCAGGACCAGCTTGGGCAACACAGTGAGACACATCTCAAACAAAAGCAAAACTGGCCTCTTTTTTATTCTAAGACAAGGTCTTGCTAAATTGTTAAGTTGACCAGGCAGGGCTTTTTTTTTGGTTTTTGTTTTTTTTCTGGTACCAGGAATTAAACTCAGGACCTTGTGCTTGCCAGGCAGGCACTGTGCCGCTGAGCTAAAGCCCCAGCCCCAAGAGGTGGTGGTGTGATGCACTGTATTCTTTTTTTTTGTTTGTTTGTTTTCCGGTACTGGGAATCGAACTCAGGACCTCGTGCTTGCCAGGCAGGTGCTGTGCTGCTGAGCTAAATCCCCAGCCCCACTGGCAGGGCTTGAACTCATGATCCTTCTGCCTTGGTCTCCCCAGTACTGGGATCATAGGCATGGGCCACCATGCTGGCTTTTTTCCTTCTCCTCACTCTTCCACATGCCCAGCATATAGTGAATTTTTAATGTAAGCAGGGTATCTACATTAGTGGTCTCCGCTCAAGTTGCACTGACACAATACAAAATATATGAGAACTTCAAAATGACAGTTCAGACAAGGTGCTGAAACTTAGAAAAAAATTTTTTCTTTTAAATAAAGAATCTACTTTTTCCTCTGATGTGTAACAAAAGGGAATGTAAAATGCCATTAGAGATTCGTCAGGACACAAATCACACGAAATAGCTTTGTGGCTGTTAGCCTTGTGAGCACAACCTGGCTGCTACTGACCTTCTGCGGCAACAGCTCCCTGTTCCTCTGGCTCGACAGCTTCATACTCGGCAGAGCTGTCACTGTCAGAATCAGAGCTACCTGATCCCCGCACATCTTCAGACACTGGATTCCTGCTCTCTGGATCATAAGAGTTGGCTGCCAAGTGAGGTTGGGACCTGCTCACCTGGAAGTAAGCATCCAATGGTGCTCTCGACCTATGCATGCAGAAAGATGACAAACAGAATTACAGCACCATTGACCATCATCAAAAACAACCCACAGTGATTTGGGGGTAGATTCTAGTCATCTCAGTCGATTTCCAGACCATTAAATGCTGACTTTAAGAAGTGAAGGGAGACCAGGGAGTAGTGTCCCACACCTGTAATTCCAGTTACTTTAGACTGCAAATTCAAGAGCAGCTGGGCAATTTAGTGAGAGCCTGTCTCCAAATAAAGTTGGGAAAAAAAAAGGCTGGAATATGGCTGAGTGGTGTGTTTGCCTAGCACATGTGCGGTCTTCTAAGTCCCCCGGAACACATCAGAGGTTTTTCTGAAACCTCTATGAAGATCTCATCCCCCAGGTTTCCCTTTTACGATTTCTGGCTAGTCTGTCTACCATTTGTCCTACTGAGTATACACTGCCTCGGACAGGCCCTAGGGAAAAGAAATTATGCTTTTTTTTTTAAACCACACTAACTGAATCACAGCCTTGCAAGTGCCTGGGCACCATCAGACAAGTCACATAAGAAAATTTCTTAGGAATAGCAAAGTTTTGAAGGAGTACCAATCCTATTCTGCCCCTGCTGGTGGCTGCCAGGCTGCTGGATTTCGTGTGACTGCTTATAGTTGGTTTTCAAGACTCCTAGGGAGCTGGGGAGGGGAAGCGAATAGCAAAGTCCAAAAAAAAGGTTCAGCTACTTTTCTTTTACTCCCTGGATTACTATATTAATGTTCAGAGTTCTGAAAAAGTTGATCCTGACAGGTTTTGCCAACTGTTTCACTTTTTGCTGTTGCTATTGATTTTTGAGACAGAGTATCACTATGTAGCCCAGGCTAGCCTGAACTCACAGCTATCCTGCCTCAACCTCCGGAGTGTTGTGATTACAGGTATGCGCCACCATGCCTAGCCTGTTCTTTGTTCTAATACAGATAAAAACTGTAACTTTTGTCCCTGTAAGTAAAATTTTATAACCTCCTGTTCCCATAACATTCTGTTATGCCCAGGCAAGCAGGGCCACCAAGATACAAAACTGTTACAGCTTGACAAATTGCCTTTCTTGTCCTTCTATCCACCCACAAGTTCTGAGAAGACGACCAACCCCCTTGACCAATGTGTAATAACCAAGGCCTGTCCTTTGTACAATGTTCCTTTTTTGATTTTTTTTTTTTAAAGGGACCTTTTTTTGAGTTTTTGAGACAAGGTCTCATGATCCATTTCAGTCAAATTAAATACATACTGAACTTTGGCTAGGCTACTGATAAAAAGGAATCCAGGAGAAGAAGAACCGTGTTAGGGTCTCTCAGAACCCAAGAAATCTTCCTTTGTGTTCACCGTCTCTAAAAATGATGCATTCTGCTCGTATCTGCTACAGTCCTAGACTCCCCACGTGTCATAGCAACAGGTACCCTGATTTGTCCTGTTCTCCAATACACCTCCAGGGCAAAGTTCAATCTCTCACACAGTGGAGAGTTATAAATGTTTAATGACTGACTGATGGCTGACAGCCAGAATCAAGCAGCCTCAAAGAAAAAGGAGAGGACTTTGCGACTGGCCAAGAAGCTTACTAGAAGAATAGCTCACTAGCTTTCCCCACTTTTGGCTTCTTGGCTCAGTATGAAGGAAAAACTGTTCAACTTGGCCCTGTTTCTTGACGTCTGACTGGCCCAGGGATGGTCCGTCATGAGAAACTGACAAACCCCATACCGAAATACTGTTATGGTTTGTGTCTAGATGTCCCCCCAAAGACTCATGTGGTCATAGGTGGGGTTTTTCAGAGGTGGCTGGATCCAGCATGTGATGTTGGGATTAAGGGTGCCCCATCCCAGGCGTGGGTGGCACTGCCCAAAGGGCAGGTAGCCTGGATGAAACATGGAGGCAGGCTCGCCTGCGGCTTGCTGCCTACCCTGCTATGAACTGTTTCTCCTGTGCAATGCCCCTCTGCTATGCCACCCTGCCTTAGAGCCAGCCAACCTTTACAAACTACAATAAACCTTTCCTACCTTGTGGGTGTCAGGTATTTTGTTTTAGCAATGAGAAAAGTAACTAAGAGAGATTTTGGTACCAGAAGTGGTGTCACTGTTGTAAGTGCACAGGAGCCTTTGGAGCTAGCTTGTGGAAGAGTCTGGAAAGCTCTAGAGATGCTGGCTGAAGCAGCAGCCCTGGAATACTTTAAACTGTACTTGTGGGAGATTCTGGTCAGAGCTCAGAATCCTGACACAAATGCTGCTGGTAAAGACCAGGTTTAGGAGGTTTCTGTTGGGGAGGACTGCATTGGCTGTTGGGCTTCAGACCATGTGTGCTATGCCTTGGCAGAAAATTTGTCTGCAATTAGCCCAAATCCAAAGACTGAGATTGAGACTAAAGGTAGTGGACTAATTAATCTTGTAGAGGACTTCAAGATAGTCTAATGTTGAGGCAGTGGCATGGCTACTGTTGGGGGCTCTTAGCCAGATTTATGTTGAGAATCAACAACAGAGAGCCCAGCAGAATGACGTACAATGGTGTGAATTTGGGCAGAAAGAAAACTCCGGTAAAGTTGTTGACTGCAAAGATGGACACGAGAACTTGGTTGCTGAGAAGAAACACACAATAGAAAAAATGGCACTGAAGACATCACAAGAACCAGCAGGACTCCAGTTTTTGCAACCTCAAAAGTGTAAGTGAGACTGCTTTTAGAAGAAAGCCCAGAGCACCATGTTCCAGAATGGTGGTAGCCTAGGAAGTTCCTCCTCAGGATTTGGTTCCTAGTACTCAGCAATCCAGGCACTCGACACCTACAGCCAAAGACAAGGAAGCCTGGCTACTGCTCTAGCTGGTGGCAAACACTGGCACCAACCACTTAGGGCTGGTCTGAGTCCCATGCAGAATGGAAGAGCTGTGGGGTCAGAAAGCTTCCACTGAGATGTCAGAAAACCTGGGAGGTCAGGCAGTGTGCCTTCAGAGGGCAATGTTTGAAGCTTTGAATGTGAAGCTGAAGGTGCAGTAGAGACCCCAGAAGGTTGGGGAAACCAGGAGTGTGCACCATCTGAGGAAAGCTGCAAGGAGCGAGCAAAGCTGGCCAAGGACAGAAACCATGCGTGCTACTAGAAGTGCAACAGTGGTGGTGGAGTGACCCAAATCTTTTGGAGTTTATAGCTTGCCACAGATTGTACAGGATGCTGGACATGCAACTATGGGGTTTAATGTTGGTTCTGCTGGATTTGTCTTGCCTTGTTCCCATTCCTTTCTATCCCCATCTTTGTATGTTCTGGAACAGAAATATCTTTCTTGTGCCATCTGTTTCAACTGTTTCATTTGTATAGGCATTCACAGGTAAGAGTTTGTCTTAATCTCAGGGTTTTTTGTTTTTTGAGGCAGGGTCTTGCTGTGTAGTTCAGGTTGGCCTTGAACTCACAGCAATCCTCCTGCCTAAGCTTTCCAAGTGCTGGGATTATAGGCATGTACCACCATGTCTGGCCAGAAGGGACTTTAGACTTGGACTTTCTCAGCAATGCTGAAACTGTTAGGACCCTGGCAATTCTTAGAGATGAATGAAATGCCTTTGCATAAAAGGATATACATGAGTCATGGGGGTGGGGGGCGCAGAGGCAGAATGTTATGGCTTGTATCTGGATGTTCCCCCAAATTCATGTGGTCATAGTGGGTTTTTCCTTACGTGGTTGGATCTAGGGTTTGTGATGATGGGATTAACGGTGCCCCACCCTGGATAAGGGTTGTATCACCCAAAGGGCAGATAGTCTGTATGAAAAATAAATGCAGGCTTGATTGCTGCTGCAGCTGTTGCTACTTGCTACTTCCTGCCTAGCATGCCATGAACAATTTCTCCTTTGTGATGCCCCTCTGCCATGCCACCTTTCCTTGGAGCTAGTCAGAGTGAGCAAAATAAACCTTTGCTCCTTTACCCTTGGGTGCTGGGTATTTTGTCTCAGCAACGAGAAAAATAACTGAAGACAGATTTTCATCTTAAGATACTCCAAAGTTACAAGCAAACTGTCCTAGTGAAGTTCAAATGTTTGTGTGAATTCAGTAAGAAGTTTGACTATCATACTGATCTGATTCCAGAATCAGGTTCTTTCCACTGAACTGCACAGCCCCTGGCCTTTAGGTTTATCTCCTTTGTAAAACAAACATGTGGCTATCAGTTAACATAGCTTGACAGACATCTTCCAACATCTACATTCTGTAATCCACCCTCTGAACATATTCTACATATCAAGGAGTTTTCTGATAAAAGTACCTTCTATGTGTATCCCTAATTATGCCAAGAGAATGTGGACAAAGCCACCCTCCATAAAGACTTGCTATAAAGCTTAACTAAAACTGCTTCTAGCTTTCAAAGCATAATCAGGGAACTTATATCTTCCATTACTTAGTGAAGTAAACCAGGGAAGCACTTTTATGTGTGTTACCAAGAAAGCGGGCTCAGAAGGATTATCCTTGAGCCAGGAGAAAAGGTGAAAGCCTATAATCCCAGCATTCAAGAGGCTGAGGCAGGACCCTAAGTTCAAGCAAGACACTATCTTTAAAAAAGGAGGGGAGGGGCTGGGGATTTAGCTCAGCGGCACAGCGCCTGCCTGGCAAATGCAAGGTTTTGAGTTCGATTCCTGGTACTGGGGGAAAAAAAAATTAAATTAAATTAAAAAAAAAAAAGAAATACTGCTTTTCTCTCTTAAAAAAAAGGAAGGGAAAAAGTTATCCTAGGCAGGCCCGGAGGTCTGACCAGTTTCACAATTCCTAAAATATACCACAGAACTAGTATATACACTTACCTGGCACTGTCTGTCCTCTGGGATGTTCCAGCTCTCATCCTACGTGAAGTGCGCCCCCTCCTCCTTGCTCTCAGCGGCCCCACACTGTACTCTGAAGGTGGAAGAGGTCTCAGGAACTCCAGCATCCCATGAAGTCTCTGCAGCCCGCTGATGAAGCTGTTCATCGGGTCCAGTGAAGGTGCTTGGACTGCGTGGTCAGCCCCAGATCCCTGCCTAGGCTCCCCTGAACTTCCTGGATTGATGTTCTCCACACTGTCTTCTGACCGTTCTACTTCCCCCATCAGGTCAACGGGCACCCGTGGAGCAGGCTGGAGCACAGGGGGTTCCCCTTGGCTGCTGGCCGCTTGAGGAGGGGGAGACTGGAGAAGGAGAGGACCCTCTTGGCTGCTGGCCACTGGAGGAGGAGGAGGAGGAAGAGGAGCAGACTGGAGCAGGAGTGGCGTGCCCTGGCTTCCAGCCACTTCTATGGGAGCAGGATGGAGCAGGGGCAGACTCCTTTGGCTGGCAATCAATTCACCAACAGGATCTGTCCTATCATCATCTGAATGCACCGGAGGATCATGGCCCAGTGCTTCGTGAGCCATCACTGGGGAAACAATGTTTGTAAAAAAAAAAAAAAAAAAAAAAAAAATCATCAGTAAAATAGATAAAATGTATCATCAGCCAGATGTGGGGGCATAGCTATAATCCCAGCACTCTGGGACTCTAAAACAAAAGGATGACCAAATTCAAGCTCAGCCTGAGCAACGCTGCAAGACCCATTCTCAAAAGCAAGCCAACAACAGGGCTGGGGCACATAGACCAGTTCACCAAATTCAATCCCCAGTGCTGGGAAGAAAAGAAAAAAAAAAGAAGGGAGAAAAGAAAGCTGTTTAAGATAGCCTGATTAAGATCATTCTTAGTCCAAAGTTGCTGTTAAAGGCAACGTGGCAGCTGGTGTGGTCTCTGTCAGACTCCACCGCGGTGTACGGGGGCCAGGGCCAGAAAGTGCAGAAGGTGATGGTGCAGCCCACCCACCTCATCTTCAAGGTACTTGCAGAATAGATCCCGGATTCAGGTGTGGCAGTATAAACAAGTGAATGTGCAGAGAGAGGGCTGTATTATTGGTTTTGATGAGTACATGAAGCTTGTATTAGATGATGCAAAAGAAACTCATTTTATTTTTTTTATTTTTATTTTTTTTTTAAGAAACTCATTTTAAAAGTCAAGAAAATAAGTGGGTCGGATCATGATGAAAGATATTACTCTGAGCTGGGCGTGGTGGCTCACGCCTGTAATCCCAGCACTCGGGAGGCTGAGGCAGGAGGATTGTTGGGAGTTCAAGACCAGCCTGGGCTACAAAGTGAGCTCAAGGCCAGCCTGAACTACATAGCGAGACTCTGTCTCAAAAAGACAAAAAAAAAAAAAGAAAGGTATTACTCTGCTACAAAGTGTCTCCAACTGGAAATATCAATGAATTATGACAGCAGTGAAGTGAGGCAATGGTGATTACCATAATATGTAAAAAGGCAGCTGATTAAGTGGTTTGCCCTGGGAGTATTTGTAAAACGTTTGTTCATATTGTTTTGACTACCCTTAGGTTTTTACTAGAGGTCAATAAATGTAGGGTTGATTTTATTAGTGTTTCACTTTTACTTTTTTTTTGTAGTGCTAGGGATCCAACCTAGGGCTTTGTGCATGCAAGGCAAGAGCTCTACCACTGAGCCACATCCTAGCCCAGGTTATTTTTATTTAAAAAAAAAAAAACAAAAAAACCCGTCCTCAGCCAAAGAGGATAGCAAGCACAATAAAGTGATTTTTTAAAAAAAAAACCAAGAAAAAGAAAAAGAAAAAAAAAAAGATTAAAAAGAATATGTTAGCTACTCAAGTTAAAAGTGTTTTGGTAGCAAACTTATAGTCAGAAGCTCTTATAGTCAGGCATGGTGGCACATGCCTATAATTCCAATGCTTTGGGAGGCTAAGGCTGGAGGATCATGGTTCAAGGCCAACCCAGGGAATTTAGGGAGTGTCTATGACTCCTAACTCAAATACACACCAGCCAGTCCAAAACAAAGACACAACCTCTTCCCCCTGTGCTATAGAAAACTGCAAGCTTGAACCAGATATGCCTATTACCAGGATGGAAAGTGGCTCAGCAGTAAAAAATAAGGGGTTAGAAGAAAGTCTACAATACGGTACACTTTCAACCCTTCTCCCCAGCTTCTTGCTCCAGCACAAACCCAGGACACAATGTTCAGGTTTACACACTGTACATTCTTTGTCTCAGGGCAAGAGATTACAGAATTGTTTTCTGAAGAAAACCAGGACAAGAAAAGAGATCCTGGAGTGGGGAGGGAGGAGAAAGGAAAGGGTCAAAAAGAATTCAGATTTATTTTGTACACATACCAACTCAAGATAAATGTAACAGCAAGCACTAAAAAGTACAATAAATGAAATAAAAATTAAAATTGAATCACTTCTTGGCCTTTTAGAGAAGATCAAGTAAAAAAATTTTAATTGGAAAAAGAAAAAAGATCTTCATGGACTGACAAGCTGAATCCTGCGATAAATGGCTCTCTGTACATGTACCTAAAATTAAAAGCCATCCAGATAAGGCTCAGCCACTCACATGGAGCTGCAAATCAGCTTTCCAGGGTCTCCCTTTAAAAGTTAACTCCCCTATCATATTGTTTCAGAATTTTGTTTTCTGTTGTGTTTTCTTTTTCTTTTTGAGACAGGGTCTTGCTATGCAGTCCAGGCTGACCTAGAGCTCACTTTGTAGCCCAGGCTGGTCTTGAACTCTTGAGGATTCCGCGGGCCTCAGCCTCCTGAGTGCTGGGATTACAGGCATGCACCACCATGCCCAGCTTGTCTTTTTTCTTAAAAAAGAAAAAAGCAATATGACAAAAAAAATTAACACACTCAAGGATGAACTGACATTTGAGTAAACTTCTCCAACAGAAGAGATTGGGGTGGGCATGGTGGCACATGTCTGTAATCCCAGCATTCAGGAGGCCAAGGCAGGAAGATTGCCAGGAGTTTGAGGCCAGCCTGGTCTACATAGTGAGTTCAAGACCAGCCTAAACACTGCCTCAAAAAACAAAAACAGGGGCTGGGGACTTAGCTCAGCGGCAAAAGCACCTGCCTGGCAAGTGCAAGGTCGTGAGTTCGGTTCCCGGTACCGGAGAAAAACCAAAAAACAAAACAAAACAAAACAAAACAAAAACAAACAAGAGACCAAAGCAGATAAACAGAAAAAAATGGAAGAGCCGGGTGCGGTGGTGCACGCCTGTAATCCCAGCACTTGGGAGGCTGAGGCAGGAGGATCGTTGCAAGTTTGAGACCAGCCTGGGCTACAAAGGCCAACCTGAACTGCTTAGTGAGACCCTGTCTCAAAATAAAATAAAAAAATTTTAAAAAAGGAAGAAGATAAAAAAAAATGCAAGAAACAGTAAACACAAAAATCCCAAGCTTACAAATCAAACTAGTTAAAATCTTTTAGATTTTTACCAATATACTGTACCCAAAAAACAAAAACAGAATGCTAGGAAAGGTAAAAGAACACATCAGAGAACAAGTCAAAGCCAGATGGTGGCACAGGCCTATAATTCCAAGATCAAGGCCAGCCAGGAGTACCTTGCAAGTTCCAGGCCAACCTGGACAACATAGCAAGGCCCTATTTCACCCTTCCCTTCAAAAAAGATAAGCCAGTAGATCTGATTCACTGAAATATCATAAAAAGAACACAGAAAATGGAGGGGGAAAGGGTAAATCAAAACTTCTGGACAAGATGGAACCCCAATAGTAAATTCTCTTTAAAAGAAACTTGAGTACCCAGGCATGGTGGTGGAAACCTCTAATCCTAGCACTAGGAAGGCTGAGGCAGGAGGATCCACATGAGTTCAAGGCCAGCCTGAGCTACAAGTGAGACCCTGTCTCAGAAAAAAATAAAAAGGAAGGAAAGAAGAGAGGGAAGGAAGGAAAGAGGCAGGGCGAAAAAGAGAAAAGAAAGGAAGAAAAAGAAAAAAGATTTGAGGGGCTGGTGATTTAGCTCAGCGGCAAAGCACCTGCCTGGCAAGTGCAAGGTCGTGAGTTCGGTTCCGTACTGGAGGAAAAAAACCAAAAAAAAAAAAAGAAAAAAAAAAGAAAAAAGATTTGAGTAGCAGCTCGCTGTAGCAGTTTCAGCGACAGGCAGAGGGCGCCTCCAGGGGACGGACCCAAAGTAGCACAGCCGGGTCCTGCGCAGGCAGACCCCCCCCCCCCCCCCACCTCCCCCACCTCTGCAGCGCTCCGCAGCCCGCACCTCATCCGAGAGCTCCGCAGCTGGCAGACGCTGCCCTGGGCCTTTCTGCACCCTACCCATCGCACCTGTTTGGGGATCCTTCCCACTCGGCCTTGGCCTGGGACCCACTCCTCTGAAAGGCGCTCCTCCCTGACGCTGGAAGGCTGGATTTCCTTCCGGGAGTGGCAAATCCACAGGGGTGGCCAAGACTGCGCCCTTTAACATTAGCATCGCCAACAGGATTTCAACTTCGACTACTACTGGGCACAACCAGATTTTACCGCGAAGAGGGCTCTAGCCGCAGCGAGCAGGGCCCGGCTCCGACGAGGACATCTAGAGAAGGCACGCTGTGGCCCACCCTTCTCAACCCCAGGCCACCACTGCATCCTTCCTTCCCTGCAGGGGGACCCAGCTGCTGAGAGGCGAGCTGGTGAACCAGAGCTCCATCTGTGAAGCGGCCAGACCATCATCACCCAGGACTCTGAGTGAGTGGCTTCGCCACTGCACCCAGGGCTGCTCAGTACTCCCCTCCTTGCCCAGCCTCACCACAGTGGCCACTCCGAAGAGTGGGAGGAGGAGGAAGACATCCAGGTTTCTGGCTGCAAAAGGCAACTGCAGCCAGGCGTGGTGGCGGACGCCTATAATCCTAGCACTTGGGAGGCTGAGGCAGGAGGATCCCTGAAAGTTCGAGACCAGCCTGGGCTACAAAGTGAGCTCAAGGCCAGCCTGAACTGCACAGCCAGACCATCTCGAAAAGACCAAAAAAAAAAAAAAAGGCAACTGCCTACCAGAAGGTGGGAATCGGGGTCACTCCCTGGGAGAGACAGCAAAAAAAAAAAAAAAAAAAAGGCAACTGCCTACCAGAAGGTGGGAATCGGGGTCACTCCCTGGGAGAGACAGCAAGGCTCCCAAGACCATAGGTGGACACTCAAGTCTCCGAACGCCAGAGGGGCTAGGGGCTTTGCCTGTGTCAGCAGATCCCAGAGCTGGAACACAACAAGAAAAAAAGTCAGAGCCCATACCCCGGGGCCAAACAGAGGCGCGAAAAGCTTATTTCAGAAAAGGGCTTGAAGAGTGAGAAAAGCCGAAGTACGAACTTGAGCAGCTCCGGGAAGGAGTCACTCCCGGGTTCTGGACTCCGCCTACTCCGGGAAGGGAAAAAGATTCCCTCTGCTGCAGAGGCTTATCTCAAATGCAAGGATACAAGCCAGGCGAGGTGGCGCACGCCTGTAATCCCAGCACGCGGGAAACAGAGGCAGGAGGATCGTTGAGAGTTCGAGACCAGCCTGGGATACAAAGTGAGCTCAAGGCCAGCCTGAACTGCATAGTGAGACCCTGTCTCAAAGACAAAAAAAAAAAAACAACAAAAAAACAAAACAAAAACAAAACAAATGCAAGGGTACAACCGAAGAGCCGGGACTGTAAAGCTGAACCATGACCTGCCTCAAACAGGGCTTTGGGCATGAAAGAAAGTAACTTTTTTATACTTGACATTTTTTCCCTTTAACAGATTTGTATGTAAGAGTTGTTTTTAAAAAAATCCTAATGTAACAAACTTTCCCTGTGTAACTATGGATATTAAATGTAAACACTTTAATAGCACATTTGTAAGAATTCCACAAAACTTCAAACATGCATTTAAACCTTTTTTTTGGTCTTTTTGAGACAGAGTCTCGCTATGCAGTTCAGGCTGGCCTTGAGCTCACTTTGTAGCCCCGACCTAAACCTTACTTTTAAAGTACATTTTCTTAGCTGGGTATGGTGGCGCA